TTGACCTGAAATAGGCATCTATGGTCAGAGACTTCTGGCCATGAAAGGGCTGCACCTGCAGAAAAAGTCTCATTCATATTTTAATTTAAGCAGCTTAGATATGGTCATCTGGACATGGTCTCAGGGTTACCAAGTCCCAACTTTGAAGCAAGTTTTCTTTACCATACATTAGTGTCAGGTGATATAGTAACTAGCATTTTAGCTAGATGCTAGAAGACTTCTTCCTGCTGGGACCACTATTCAAGAGTGACTTCAAGAGTGAAGAAGGGAACATCAAAATAATGTGACTGGGCTGGCTTAGTGCCCCATCTACAAAATAAATACATAAATCATAGATGCTGAGTTTTTGATCTTGCATTAAGATCACTGGTGTCAAATCTTTTAAGCAAAATGTTTCTTTCTCCTGGCTGTTTTTATATTAATGGTCAACTACTGTTATAACTGGTATTGAACAAGCTACCTTAATTTAAATGTAAGCCTCCAAAACTTTAAAGACAGGTTAAATGAACTGAATTTATATCTATAAAAATAAAACTGAAATGAAACATATATATTATGATATTCAAAAATGCAATCTTCAGAAAACCAATTTGTGTGATGAGTATTTGTTTTATATGTATTAGTGAGGGCAGATTGCTTGGAATGCTGGCTTCCTAGTAGACTATCTACCTCTCAATTGTCTCAAGCCTGATAAAAGAGCCCTTGTACTTTTGTTCTTGACTAAATAGAGATTCAGTTAAAGAAAGACTTATCTAACTCTATAGCTAGCTACTAAAAAGGAGCATTTCCCATTTAGTTTTGGGCAGACACACAATAAAGTGAGTTCTTATATCTGTCCTGTAGATACGCTGTTCTGTTTTCTGAGTTTTATATCATGTCATGTGGACAGACTTTCTTTTCCTTCTGGTTTTTTTGGTATTAAATATGTCTTAATACATTTGTAGGTTTTTCTTCGTTCAGGCAAGATTAAAATATATATAGCAAAATAGGACAGTTTGGAATCTCAGAAAAATTTCTTCGAGCCCAATAAATCCTAAAAATGAACATCAGGAACATTAATTTATGAATACTTGTAACACTGGATTAAATTCCTGCTTAGTGTAAAGTTTATATTAAAAATTAACAATAGTTCAATACAAGTTGCATCAGAACTGTTTAAGTGAAATTCATAAATCATGACGTCTAAATCCATTTTCAACCAGTTCATTGTGATTCAGGAAGTTTTACTTCAGGAAAAGTAAATCTCTATTTTTTGCTGGCATATATCTATGTTCATCACATTAGCATTACATACTTTGTGATTTTGCAGTGATTTGTAATTATAACCCATTCTAAGCACTCACTGGCTGGCTAAATAGTAAATTTTCAGAATACTTCTAAAATACTGTGCCATTTTCATTAATATAACTGCATAAACTGAATTTAGTGAATGGTTTATACACTATGATAAATCCGAGAATTGAAGAATATCTCTTCTAAATGTCCTTTAATAAAAACTAAAATGGATGAAAAGTCTATTCCTCAAAGACAGACATGTATTTATGTTAAGAAATATAAAAGTGCTATGTGCAGAGTTTGAAAGGATAAAATCCAGAAAGAAGATTCCAGCTTTTATTCTTTGTGATGGATTCTTAAATGGATAGTCAAAAAAAAGTTACATGCAGATTTTACAAAACTTGACAATTCATATAATTAATTAGAATGTAATAATCTAAATTAAGGACTTTCCCCAAGTGATGACACAAATGTGTTTTTACTATACATTTTTAAAAATAACCTAAACCATTGAACAAAGTAGTTCAATGAGAACTATACTCATTAACCACATTGTGCCTCTCAAAATTGCCTGAAAATGCAGTGATAGTATTGTTACTGCTTTCCTTGCAGCTAGTTTGGTTCCATGCAGTAATTTGATAACAATTTTCCAGCACAGAAGTGTTTTCCAGAACAGAAATTTTTTTATTAGTATTCCTACCCTGTAGAAAAGACAAAAGACCCTAAGCAGAAAATACACAGTATTGCTCATGAAAAACTTGTATTCTTGTAGAATTATTTACCACACACACCATTTTATTCCCAAAACAACTCTAAATTAAGGGAGTCATTACCGATAATTTGTTAAAGGAATACACAGAAGGTGCAAATGACTGCAAAGGTAGAAAAGGAGGGTCTCTGAAGATCAGCCCTTGTATGGGATTGGCTGTTTTCATAGTGGATTTTAGTATTTTTTGTCATACCTCTCCCTTTCATTCCGAGCCAGTTGTCTGTTTCCCACTCCTGTCTTTCCAGTTCTGTTTCCCCCTTTGCTTTTCCTCTCAACGCAGTACCTTTTGTCCATCTCCCATCCATTCTTTTTAGTGGTGTTTCTGGTATCAGGGAGATAAATACATTTATATGCAAGAGAATGGTTGTTTGTGCAGATGGGATCATTTTATAAATAGGGTGCCTTATTTTAACCAATTAACAGTGGTACTATTTTAGCCCTGCCAACTTCTTTAGAATGTGCTTTCCTGCAGATGCAAGACACACTTATTCTGGAGGGGGAAATCTCAAGAATAGATGACAAGAACTGAAACTGTAATCCCAGGTTGCCAATATGTGGAAGCTAGGCACTCACATGTTTGTATTCTTTCTCTTTATTCTTCTTGGGAGCAGGGATTACTTTAAATTCAGTCATCTTTCTTTCAGGTAAATACCCTCATTTTCTTAGGGTCTTCATTAACATTCTTATGACTCCAAATTAAAGCAATCAGTTCTAAATGGCTACTAGGCAACAAAATGATTTTAAGATGACAGATTCTACAATAACGAGACACAAATGTAAAGGACTCTAGGATATGTAGTTAAATTGCTGTTTTTAGGTTAGCACTTTATCCAACATATTTGCAGAAATTTCAGAACTAGCTGAGAGTATCCTATGCTGTGTTTGCTCTGAGTTGTTAAGCATACTGATAGCATGGGAAAAAATTGGTAACACTAGCAACAAAAAAGCTTCCTATAAGATGTAGTAATTTAAGCTATGAAGATAGTAAAGAAAAGTTGCAGTATTTTGTCACATGACTTAGTAAACTGTTCTTGCTCACAATAAAATTGGATGGTTACGGGGTTCTTAAATGAGAAAAACAGATTTCATCATTTTATCATACTTTCCTACTAGATTTACACTCATTACTGGATGCTGTTCTTCAGTGTATTTGTGAACAGTGCAATAATTTGTATTGGCATCTGAAACAGGATGAAAAATTTACAATTCTCTTTCAATTAAACTAGCTGTAGTACTCACTCACTATGAAGCAATATGTTTACTTTTTGGAGACCAAGGAATACAGGTATAAGGCAGATCTGTTGATATATTACAACAGGGTGTCAGCATTCTTTTGCAAGCTACTCCAGGAATTTCAACTTGTGAGGCTAAACTCATCAAAAATTTAAATGGAAAATAAGGGCTATATACATGACAGATGGCTGATGATACATTCAGGAGCTAATCATGTTTTGATTAGTACTAGTCAAGCAAGCAAACAACAGAAATCCAAGTTCCAATCAGATCAGACTGCTTTACTTTTTAGGATCAACCAAGTGTTGCCACCTAACTAGGCACATTTTAGTTCAACCTATCCTAAAATTTAGGGAAAACAAAAGATTTCTAGTTTGACTATTAAAATCAGTCAAAAATCCTTATTATGAAATAACTATTAGGGCAGTTAAAAGGTCACAAAAATGCATGCATTGAAAATCTGCGAACTATTCATTAAGCAAGAGGTTGCAAATAAGTGGGATGGTTTGAGGAAGCAAAAAGGATTACAATACGTTGAATTCAACTTGGTTTCTATTGACCTTTTCATCGAGTACTATACACAATGTAAAAATAGTTCCAGCCTTGATAACAAAAAAACGGTACTCCACCCAGTAGTCATAGATCCATACTGAAACCACCACTAAACCCTACCCGCTTCATTTGTGTAATATCCACCCTAATAAAAAGATATGGAGATTCTTGCACGCTTGTGCATTTTGTGCGACCTTTCTCAGCTTAATAGATAATAGTGTGAGAATTGGGAAATTAAGAGACCTCTCTAAAGGTTTACAGCGGCAAAAACAAATGGGAAAACAAACGCTACCTGGTCATGGAATTAGATATAATCATTCAGGACTGGAAATCAGTGTGAGTGTATTCGGGGATTTATTGAACCGGCCAATTAATTTAATCTAAACTTTCATTTCTTCCCGAGGCAGAAGCCTTAACACTCCGATTATAACATAGGGGAAAAAAACCCTCTTAACTACTTAAAGAAGCTTTTGCCGAAGGTTCCTCTAAGGTAATTCAGAATTATCACACCCCACCTATTATTATGTATTATCGATCTTTAAAAATGCTCGGAACCGAAGGGCGAGAATGAAAATATTGTGTTGGCCGATAGTAAACATTTTCTGTAAGAATGACACGTCCTTTCATTGCGGTGATGACTGAGAAAGCCTCCCCACCCAAGAAAATAAAAGCTTGAGCCCAAGTCGACCAATCCCAAGGTGAATAGCAGGTGGCCATTTCAAAAAAACACAAAAGCAGCCCGCGAAGGCGGTAACTCCCTTTTCACCTTCCATTCTATCAAACCCATCTAATCATAAAGCTTAGATAAATTCAGATAGCTTGCTTTGCTTCGGAACGTAACACTAGGACTCCCCTCGCTGGGAAAGACGGGGTGGGGGGTCTAAAATGGCGCCTGTCCCTTTCTCCCTCACTGACGCACCAGCGCCTCGCCCGACGTGATACAAAATGGTTCCTGCGGCGGCCCCGAACTCAGCATAGTCAAGCTGATGTAGCATGGAGGCGGACCCATCGGCCAATCACCAATAGATGGTGTCAACTGAAGCTAAAATGCCCAATGATGACTGTGGGGGGAGTTTGGAATCGCCGACTGGCCAATGACTTCCTAAGCAACTGCTGGTGGCAGGGCCTACCCGCGCGGCTCTGGGCGGTGCTGGGATAGGCGGGCGGGCGCTGAGACGGTCGTTTCCTGTCCTGGTGCATGGTGGTCGGACGGAGGAATTGTTGGAAAATTTCTCAGCGAGGTTCGTATATAAATGTGTTTTTACCCAGTGTGCCTTATTCTAACCGCCGCCATCTCCGACTGGGATGCTTCACTCTCGGGTTTGGTCTGGCCTAATCCCTTTGCGGCGATGTTCCACAGAGGGAAATGTGTGAGAAAAGCGGGGAGTCGCCCTAGTATCGCGGCTCATATTAATAATAAAGCCGAGGCGTTGCCGCTGTCCGGCCCGTGCATTCCCTCTCTCCCCCCCTTCCTTCATATTCCCGCCTTCTCCGTTTCTCTGGCTCCAGCTCTTTTCTCCTGCGATGTATTTGTCTCGGGGGGAAAGTTGCCGCGTAAAGAACCCGCTTGGGGTTTTCGGGCTGTAGGCGAAGCGGAATCGAGGGACATGTTACTGACTGACTTCCAGGGAAGTGTGCTGAGGAAGCTTTCTTTTTAGAGGCTGCGTCACCAAAGAAGGTTCATTTTGCATAGCCATTCGCAAGCCATGACAGAAAAAGGTCGTCTGAGGCATTTTTGTTCTCCGACATCGGCCCCGAGCCGAAGGAGCCGCTGTCTCAGAACGCCACCGTCGCCCTGTGCTCCCTGGTGAATTCACCCACGCCGCATGTTTAAAAAAAAAGGCAGCGGAACCATTTTTGACAAAACCTCGTATGAGAGGGAGCGAGCGAGTGGTGATCTAAAGCTGTAGGTCGGAAAGGGAGAATCCAAATCAATGCGTATAAGGTTGTGGCCTCAGTCGATCGTCGTGTGTACAGTTACCCGTCAGTTAAGGACATGCACGACATGTTTTTCTTTTGATTATAGTATGCAAATATGATGCGATAGAAGCTCTGTATGCATGCGTGATTCTCAGCAGGCGCATTTCAGACAAGAAATTCTGTTAGATATATGAAAGAAAGTAGTTTTATTTCCTCTCGTGGGTCCTGCGATTCGTTTTTTTAAATTCACTTTTAATTAATGTGGTAAAAACTCTTAAAATGAAGATAGATTCCTGCTTGTATGTCACACCATATGGCCATCAACCAAAAAATGCTAGATCTATAGTCCCTGTGTATTGGACTGCAAGTCTAACATAACTACACTGGCTCACTAGATTCAATTATTTCCAGAGATTTTAGGTTTGTGGAGTTCTTTGGATTGCCTGTTTGAATAAGGGGCTTTATTTTTAAAAAGAAATGTTAATGTCACAAAATATTTTAGTTTCACAGAAGGATACAATTTTAAAAGTAGAATGTATCTTCATTTTTATTCATGAAACAAAATAATTTGATAATTTTGACATGCTTTTGAAAATTCAACATCATACTGACTTTCTAAGTTTAATACAGTATTTTTGTATCTCGCAGTAAATCACACTTCTAGTTCTCCCATAAAACATACATAGACTTGACATCTCAGTAAGTGTTCATAAACTATAGATGCAAGGAACCATATGAGGAAAATACATTTTTCCAGTAATTTTAGAACAGATTTTGCAAGTCTTATTAAGTATTATTTTTAAGAGCTTTTAGAATGAGTGTTCTATACTCACTTCAATCATAAATGTATTCCTAAAGTGGGGTATAGTTAAGATATACAATATAGAAAATGATTACAAAACTTAAGAATAAAATGTGAATTAAACATTTTTTAGAACGATTTAACTGCCCACTTAAGGGAAGATCACAAATCTAACTAAGATCAAGAGGGCTTAGTTACACATGTTAGTGGGACTTTCTCCCAGTAAATAATGCTTTAATCCAGAGATTTATGTGGAAAATAATACTTGCATCCAGAAAGAACAAGATTGATAGAAGTAGATTTGTTCATCCACTGATCACAGTTATAGCTTTTTAATTTTCTTGAAGCAGCTATTTGGAGATTTGAAGAATTCTCTGGAATGGGATGGGAATGGTGTGGGGGCCCATGGGAAAGAGAGTATGAGTCTGCTTACAGATGTAATGTATGTATCTAAATCTAATTCCAATCCACTGTATTGGAAAATCTTATAGACATGATACATGCTTCTAAATCTCAAACCCAGTTCACTGTGATTTTTTTTTAAAAAAACTCAGGTTTTGTATGAGATGTTTTACTTATTGCTCCTAAAAATTGAAAGAAACACTTCTTCAATAAACACAGTTCTGACAAGTAAGCTGTGTCCTTAATTACATGTTTTAGTGTTTTATTTATAGCAGTGTTTCTTAAAGTGTGGTCCTAGGACCCCTGGCGGTCCCCCAAGACCCTCTCAGGGA